GGACCCAATGCCCATCTCTAGACAACTGGACATATCTTGCAGAGGGGTAGTGGGGAGATGAGTCACTTAGAGTTCTGGTTAGTTTTTTAAGAGTACTTTTTAAAAAAAGAATAGAATAATATCTCTGGAAATTTTGAAGTCATAAGGGAATGTTTACTATTTTGATTATAGAGAAAGGAAGTGAAAAAGGAAAATCTACAAATTAACATATTATTAAGTGTCAAGACTCATAACACTCTTCTAAGAAGACTGTTAGCTCAATGTTTACAGATGAGAAGGCTTAAAAAGTTTCAGATAACCAGCTTGAAGTCATATAGTTACATTAAAAATAGTTCTGTTTCCAGAAAACAGTGTCTTTGTATTACATAAGGCTGTCATATGTAATTAGGCAGTAGAGTTGATTCCAAATCATATCAACCCAATACAGCTGTCAAAGGTTGTAAATTTTGAGAGGAGCAGAAAAACCTTACAGAGAAAACATTTTTTCTTTCTAAAGTTATGAATAAAGACGAATAGTTAATAATAGTAAACTCAAGAACATGATTTATTCTGGCAGAAGTTACAACAATCCTAAATATAGTTTAAAATTTTTATTATACTGAAGTTGTATATGTCATTGAACTTGAAAAGCTTCTTATTAAATTGCAAATTTTAAGCAGCCAGCAAAAGTAAAACGTCCAATTTTGTAATTAGTATTTTTGAATTTTATATCCTTCAGATAGAATTTTTCCTATTAAAAAAAGCATTTGATGTTAGCAGTCTCTACTTGCTATAATATTGCATTACCATCTTCATAGATTTCAGGGAAAGGGGTTTTTTTCAAATGGAACAATCGTTTCGCTACACGCACATTAGCTTATTGTTTGTTTTGTTGTGAGCAAACAAGAGGCAATGGTTAGCAAAGGTTCCTGCTGTTATTTTCAACGTCTTCTTGTAAATTCGGTGAACGTTTACAGAGCAGGTCACCACCCGGACATTTAACAATTCACACTGACTTTGCTCCAGTACATCAGTTGCCATCCCCTCAATGTACATCCCTTATGCCACTTTTGCTCTTGTTTCCTGGTTCTGCACCTCTTTCTAGCTTACCCCTCTGACAATGCCTTTTCTTGTCGAATTGCTTCCTCCCTCCAAAAAGTGTTTGGGACAGCATGTTCTGCTCCTGTGTCCTTCAGTAAATGCTGCACCTCTGATTTTAAGTGGTTGATTATCACAGAAGTGGGTTCAGTTCCCGACCTGAAGGGTGACTGAGGTTCATAGTCTCAGGGTCCCCACCTGCCTCTCTCCAACCAGTTAGCACCACTGGTTTCTTTCATCACCTTGGATTTTATGCCACATGTTCACACCAAAAAAGGCTTATCCTAACGGTGTTTACAAATATATCCCAAGCAGAGGGAGCAATTGGCAACCAAACATAGAAGACGTGTTACGTGGGTTAAAAATTACCAAAATTAATTAATTAACAAGTAAGAGAACCAGGCTTTTAATAAAGAGATCCACTGTCTAATCACTAAACTTATATCTTCTATACCTTTCCAGACCATCTAGACATTCAAAAGGGAGCACTTGCCTAGAAGGAGAAACTCGGT